GTAGTGGTTATTCATAGTATAAGATGCAGACATGATATCCTGTCCAAACACTATTAGTACAAATCTTTTTCTCACTGAATTAAGAGAAAGCAGCTGTATATCTGTTTTAACTATTTTGTATATAGAGATACAAAATGGTCCTTCATTTGTATCTGCCTTTTTTTGTTTAGTTCCAACAAGGTAATTCCTAACGGCTGAATGTTTTATTTTGCCTGGCCCTGCCTACTGTTTCCCCAAGCCATCTCCCCCGCCCCCCCTCCCTGGAAGCCGCATCTTCCTTCCACAGAGCCACCCTGTTGTGTGGGGTGACGCCTGCCCTTCTGTCCTCCATCCCCAGGGAAGGAGAATCAAACCCAGCAAGGAGCTGGCCACCATAGTGCAGACACCTAGCCCTGGGGCACGTCCCCTTCCCAAGGTCCTCTTACATCACACGGTGTTGAGTTCACAGCTGAGGTGCAGGAACAAGGCGCCTCTCTGTCACCGGACGCCTCCACAACCCTGGTCTCCAGGGCTTTCTCACTGTGCCACTCCGCCAGCCCTTTGGGTCTTGAGAGGCCAGAAAACTGCCCCCTGGAACCCAAGCTATGGCCCTTGGCACTGGGCGAGGAGCCACTGCCCCAGGCAGCATGATGAGGGCTGCCCTCCCTCCCCAGTCCATTGCTGCTTTACCGTTCAGAACAACCCAGTTGTGTCTAGATCTTAAACGTCTCTGTCCCTCCTTATTGTCCACGCTGAGCCCTAAACTCACTCCCTCTCCAGAGACATTACTGTTGTGCATGCAGCAGCCTTTAAAACATTTTTTTTTTCTCTTTTGAGATAGGATGGTTGCTAAATTGTCCAGTCTGAGCTTGAAACTGTGATCCTTCTGCCTCAGCATGCAAGCATGCTGGGATGACAGTCAGGCACCAGCAGGCCCAGCCTGCAGCCAGTCTGCACTGCTTCGGGGGGGTTTTTCTATGTCAAAAGCATGTAGATTCACCATACTTCCTTGACCTGCTTCAGTGTATAACACAGTGCAGTGGCCTGTAGTTTTGGCTGAAAATCCCTCTCCTTTAGTTGGATATCTCGGTTACATCCAGCTTTTTGCTATTACATATAATTTGCTCCAGATATCCTTGAGCTTGCCTCTCTGCCTACATGTGTTAGCATTTCTTTAGGGCAGACACTGTGATGGAAGTTGTAATAAATACATGTGTTTAAAACTTTAGCAAACTGGGCGTGGTGGTGCACAACTGTAATCCCAGCACTTGGGAGGCTGAGGCAGGAGGATTGTTTCGAGTTTGAGACCAGCCCAGGCTACGAAGTGAGTTCAAGGCCAGCCTGAATTGCATAGCAGGATGCTGTTTCAAAAAGACAGGCTGCCAAATCTCTCTCCTAAAGGGTTTTGCTACCTGCCATACCCACTGTGAGTGTCTGATATTCCTGGATCATCTAATCCTCCACTGTCACTGGGTGCCACGAATGTACATTTGTCTAATGAAAACTAGCTGACAGTGTGAGAGGTCAGGAGGGTGTTTACCCCTCTGGGGGGCAATAGCAGATGGGGCCTGGGGGTGCTGGAAGACGCTGCTGATGTCTGTTTCTTGCTAAGTGGTGGTTACACAGGTATTTTCAGTTTCTCTGAATGTATAAAGTGGTGTGGGTGTTGACAGTAGCCCTTTATACATGTAGGTTATTCTTTAGTTAAAAAGTTCACTCTCTCCCCTCTCCCACACCCAAAGGGTGCCGCTCCCATGCATATTTTGTTTGTAGATCAGACTTGTTTTGTTGGTTGGCCTCTGGCTACTTTCTTCTGAAATATTTACTTCCGTGACTTGTGAGATGCTTTGCCTCAGAAAGGAAGCCCCTTTGCAGAAGGGGAAGAGGGACCCGAAGTTCTTGGGTGTTAGCTTTGTTTTCTAATCTTACTAGCAGCCCTGGCAGTGAGGTATAATTCAACCCTCTTTCCAGGGAAGGGGATGGGGCTCAGAGAGAGGAGGGGGCCTGCCGAGGGCCGCCGGTGGTCTGCAGTGGAGTCCTACCCTTGGGTGGCCGCTGCTCATATGATAGGCTTGGCCAGTCGCACGGCAGGCACAGCGCTCTTTAATGCCTGCCGCAGCCCTTCGCGGC